GTAGGGAAAATTATACCATTATATCAAATTAAAGTAGGAAAGAAGAAAAAGCAAATAAATCAGGGGAAAAAAACAGAAATAGTCATTTGGGTTCATAAACAATCTTGGACAGAGACATCAATATGTGCTATTGTTTCATAAATTAAACAAGATAAACAGAAGGTCTTATTAAATATGCTGAAAAAAATATGTTAATTTTTCCAGTAACCCGAAATGACAGCTGTGTAATGGTTGAATTTTACAAGAATATTTGCATAGTTTAAAAACGAGTTTTAGCCTTAGTTTTCATAAAAAGTGAAGTTTATGAACAGAATAAGTACAATAAAGATATTTATAGTGTTATATATTGATTATAAAAATGATAGAGATTTATAGTGTACTGCACCCTTTCTCCTTTTTAAGATACATTATTATTGTTTGCTTTTAATGCTTATGATAAAATTTTAGAGATTTTATTTTCCTCTGGTTAAAATGATACTTGAGTCTATTTTAAAACATTAAAAATGCAAAGTATCCCTGGCATCTGACATAATCAAATGTTTAGAGTTAATAAACTTGCCAAGTTAGGGAATATCCTTTTTCCTTCCTACTATAGCACACATTGCATATTTTTTTAATCATTTGAACTATTAGCTTTCATTTACTTCCATTTTCAAATTTCTTCCAATTGTTGACTGATTCTGAGTTTAGCTGTGTTGGCTCTTCCAGTGTGATTACTTGTGACAGTTGAAAAAAAAAAAGCTGTATATATTTTGAAACATGGAAACCAGCCACCATTAGCCAAGGAGGGCTTGAAGTTTTTCTGATCTTGAATGATACATCCATGCATTTCTTGGTCTTCTACTTCATAACAACATAGACTACTAAATTATTATTTTTCCTTTGTTTATTAGTTGCTGTCTCATGAATCCAGAAATGTAGCCACTTTCTCATCTTCTCCAGAGCTTCTTCATATCTGGTAGCTGTTGGGTTAGTACCTTTCGAGCAGCCTCATATACAGGTAACTTGCCATCTCCTCCTCTTTCTGGATGTGTGGTACTGTTGATTCATTCACGTTGAGATTGGAGCCAACCACATTGTAACACATGCCCAAAGGAAGCTTATCTAACATGCATTATTTGCATCTGCAGAATAGATTGCGGTCTTCTTGTGTTTAGGACCTCTAGGCAGCAGGTCAGCATTACCTGTGGGGCATTTTAAACAATGCAGTCATCAGAAGAAAAGCACAAACATGCAAGAAATTTGGGCACTAAATAAATTGCAAATAGGACACGTATGTATGTTAGAACAGCAGAAGAATGAAGGCAGAATATGCTTTGTTTTACCACAGTAAGAACAGGTGTATAATGTGACTCAACTATTTTACTACTCTGCACAGATTCACAAATGACCACAAAAGCCTACAAAGTACTCCTTTTCAGATAACATTTAGAGTTTTAATACTGAATATGCAAATCTGAACCTCTACTGTAATTTGATTAGACGGGGAGGCTAGGCCAAAGGAAGATGTTTAAAAAGTGAGTCAAGCTGATTTGTTCTCCCTACTACTCAAATATTATTTAAGTATAAGACATATTTGTTTTCTGGTATTTTTTAATGAATGAAAGTGTTTAAATAAAACAATATAGTATTTAAGTATTTTTATGCAGAATTACAACCACATATCAACACTCAGATTAACAATAGCAAAGAAAAAAACACTGGTATGTTTCCATGTTTCATTTTATTAATTTAATTTATACTTTATGGAACATACCCTTTTCAGTTTACAGTTCTGAGTTTGACAGCTGTATAATCGTGCAAACACAATCACAAGATATGAGTTCTGTCACTAGAAAAAAATGTCCTCACACTGCTTTTTAGTTAACTACCTCCTCCACAGCCTGGCCAGAACTGATCTGTTTTCTGTCTCCGTATATTTGCATTCTTTAGAATGTCAAATAAAAGAAATCCTATGGCATGCAGGCTTCAGTCTGACTACATCATCTAGTAGTATTTGTTTGACAGCCATATATATTCTGGCATTTGTCAGTAATTCATACTTTTAAATTGCTAGGTGCTATTCCACTATATGAATGGACTACTGTTTGTCCATAACCCAGGTGAAGGACATTGGGATTGTTGTTGTTTGGGCAATGCAGAAAAGTTTCTATAAACATTTACATAAAAGTTTTTGTATATATGCAAGTTTTCATTTGACTTGAGTAAATGACTCGAAGTGAGACTGCTGGGTAGTTTAGTATAGGTACACTTAACATTTTAAGACTCTGTGTAGGGCCTTTTTTTTTTTTTTTTTGAATCAGTTGTTCTATTTTGTTTATTCCACACTCACTGTATGAATTTGCATCATTGCAAACATTGGTCTTTTTAGTTTATTGTTACTGTGGTGGTTTGCTTGTCCAATTTGGCTGTTAACTGTTTTTAGTAAGTGTAGGCTGGTATCTCATTGTGGAATTATGTTTGGTTTCCCTAAGAACTACTGTCATTGAGGATATTTTTATGTGCTCAACTCTATTACCTTTCTTTAATAGGCAGCTAATTTTTTATTGGGTTTTGAGAGTTCTTTATGTATTTTTAATGCAAATCCTTTATCAGGTAAGTTATTGTACAGTACTTTTCTGTTCCTTTTTATTTAACTGTATTTTCCGAGAGCAACTTTACCTTATCCTTTTGTTAACTGGTATATGCTTTTGCTGACGTATCTTTTCCAGATCAAAGAGCACACATATCTTGTGTTTTTATCCTACTAGCTTTATCATTTTAGGTTTTATATTTAGGTCTGTGCTACTATTTTTTTTTTTTTTAATACAGCAGAAGGTATATATCTAGGTTCTTTATTTCCTTTCACTTGTTTTCCTCCTAAATTCCAGTGCTCTCTTCAGGCACTTGTTTAGAAGTGAATGTAATTATTTATCTTATTGTTCCTTTTGTATGTAGGAGGTGAGTTCTGGATCCCTCCAGTCAGCCATCTTATACCCCTGTATTTTGATTTTTTTGCTTCCAGTGTTGAAAATATTTCATGTTGTTTGTTTAAAATGCTATCCATTCTCCTCTAAATTTACTTGTCTTGATTAGTGTGCCTTTATGGTTACTCTTGACATTAGTAGGGTAAAGTCTTCAATCTTGTTCTGGATATTCCTACTGTTTTGGATATTCTTATTTTAATTTATGTGTAAATTTAAGTGTCTTTTTCTTAATTTCTATAAAATTCTGGAATTTTTACTAGAAATTTTAATTTTTGTGTTAATTCATTTGCAGTTGATACCTTAAAATATTGTGTTGTAACACATGACCAGGATAGGACATGTAGCTATCCATGTCTAAGGTCCTCTTTGATTATTTTCGTCATTTTGTGGTAGTTTTCAACATATAGATACTAAAAATATTGTGAGCGTTTATTTATTTGGAGAATTTTTTACTATAGAGCACGTGCACTCACCAGAAAGACAGAGAGAGACAGAAAGTGAGAAATCACCCCCTGGGGGGGATGGCCACACTGCAATCCCTTTTCTTCGATTCTCCTCTCAGGATCTTGGGCACACAAGCACACACATGCACCCGATGTGAGTTTAAGCACCAGGTCTGGGACTTGAACTGCATTCGACTATATGGGAATCCGGCAACATAGCCTTTATGCCAACTACTGGTCCCTGTGATTGTTTATATTCAATTTTTTATGCCTTTGTACTTTTTTTTTTTAATTTCAGTTAGTCATTACAAAAACATGTATGTCAACAAATTTTTGCATGTTGACCTTATATCCTATAGCATTGATAAACTCATTTGTTTACTCTAGTAAATATTTGGAAATTTTGTTTTTAAGGGTTTTTTTTTTTGTAGATAATTATTTTTATATATACACAAATTTCTTTCTGTCTTAATCCATTTCATGGCTTTTGTTTGTTTGTTTTACTTAGCACTAACATATTCTGTGTGGTGAACGTCAATATCCTTGCCTTATTCCTGATCTTAGAAGGAAAAATAAAGTCTTTCACTACTAAATATCTCTTTGGCTTTATACTCTTTTTAGTAATTTATTCTTTGTTTTGAGGTGAAGGAAGTTCCATTGTAGTCCTAGTTTGCTGACAGTTTTTATCATAAATGGCTGTTAATTTGTATTAAATTCTATTCCAGTATTGAAATCATATGGTTTTTCTTTTTCAATATGTTGAAAGGGTGACTTCTATCAATTAATTCTTGATTGTGAAATAAACTTTTATCACTAAGGTAAGTTTATTGGTTATGATATATAATATTCATTACATTGTATTTGAATTTTTTGTGTTTGTTGAGGGATATTAACGTAGACTTCTCAGATTTTATAATGTTTTATTTATGGAGCCAATATGCTAGCCTTTTATTTATTTATTTTTAAGAGAGATTTTTGCTCTGTCACCAGAGAGAAAAAGAGAGAGCTAGAGAGACAGAAAGCAAGAAGTCACTCCCCACTAAAGGAGATAGCCATGCCACAGTCCCTTTCCTCTATTCTCCTCTCTGGGTTTTTGACTGGCACACATATCCACTCAGCAAATTTCAAGACACTGGGTCCAGGACGCGAACTGAGTTTGCACATGTGGGAGTATTTAACCATTATGCCATCTGCTGGTTCCTATGCTAACCTTTTAAAATAAATTTGAAAATGTTTGCTTCCATATTCTAGGAGAGATTCTGTATGTATGTAATTATTTCTTAAATGTTTTGTAGAATTCAGTTTAGATGCTGAGATCTGGCATTTTCTTTGAATGCTTTAATGAAATTGAATTCTTTAATATATAGTATATATTTTATGTTATGTATTGGGTCATTTGGAAAGTCATGACACATTTTCATATAGAAAAATACATCATGACTTTCCTGATGACCTAGTATTTTGATTTGTCCTGAAGGTTCTATCTTTCAGATTGTTCATTTTATCAGAGTTGTCAAATTTATGGGCAAAGAGTTGCTCATGGCATTGCCTCGCTTCCTGATAATTTCTGTTGATTCCGTGGAGTGCCTCATATTTGCAAATTGTATCTTTTTTCTTTGTCATTCTGCTAGAAGTTTAATGATTATATTTATTGTGTTTTCTGCAATGCCTTAAAAACAACCACAATTTAGCAGCTTACACCAACACATAATCCTTTTTTCAGAGTTCTGTTGAGAAGTCTGTATTAGCTTGATTTTCCTGCTCTGGGTTTCACAGATTAAAATCAAGGTGCTCTTTATCAGGAGACAATGAGAAGGGTCTACCCCTGAACTTATTCAAATTGTTGGCTGAATCTATTTTCTTGTGGCTGTGGGACTGAGGCTCCCACTTGCTAGCTGGCTTACTTTCAACTGGAAAGTGACATTGGCTCCTAAAGGACTCTCTCTGGACATTGCATATTGACCCTTCTTTCAATGCTTCCACAGTATGTTTCACAGTTGAGATCTCTGCTTCTCCTGTTACTGCATTTATCTGACTGACTCTTCTAGCTGTCACTTGTTTCTACAGATTTAGGAATTAGAATAAGCACAGCTGGGTAATACAGTATAGTCTTTCTATTTTATGGTCATGTAACTTCATGTAAGTTATTTACAGAAGTTTCTAGACTAGTGTCCAGTTATATAGTCAAAAACCAAAACTTGAAGGGCAGCTTAAAATCCTATCTCCCACATTGATCTTTCCAAAGAATCACTTTTGGATTAATGACCCTTCTCCATTTTTAATTCTCTGTGCTCAAACTCATGAATTGTTTTCCTTTACGTGCATTCTATTATCCTTATTACTTGCTGCTTGTTTCTGTTTGTTTTAATTTGCCCCTTTTGCTTCTCTTTTTGTCTCTTGAAATAGTAACTCAGAATTGCTTTGAGGTGCTTCTTTTTTTCTCATGAGCATTAATGTGATAAGTTTTACTCTAAATACCATTAATTTGCATCTCACAAATGTGGGACATTTTATTTTTATATTTAGTCAATTCAGAGTGTTCTAATTTACCTTATACCTTCTTCTTTGACCTTCTGGAGAGTTACTTGTGTGCTCTTTAATTTCTAAAATATAGTTGGTTTGCAGATCTTTCTGATAATTACTTCAAGTTTAATGCTGTTAAGCATGCCAGATCATATTATATATCTTTTTCAGTCTTGTTTGTGTTAAAGCACAGAATATGATCGATTTTTATGAATGTTTTGTGTGTGTGTGTGAGTGTGGTGGGGGCTGGGGTGGCGGTTCTATAAACTTCAAATACCTGAAGTAGATTGTTAATGGTATTTATGTCTTCTGTATTTTTATTGACTTTTCCCAGAGTCTATCAGTAACTATGATATGAATGTCGAAGTCACAAACTGTAATTGTGGATTTGACTATTTTCCTGTTTTATCATATTTTGCTTCATGTATTTTTTAGATCTATTGTTGTGCTACTGAGTTTTACTTGCTATCCTTTAGTTTGAGAATTTGAGAAAAATTCAGAAGTATATTTTCACCGTATCACTAATGCATTGCAGAGTTTTACACATTTAGAATTCTTATATGTTCTAGTATTATTTCTTTAAATATTTTAGATTTCAGTCTTGTATGTGTGTGTGTGTCCTGTCTGTCTATAGAGAAACAGAGTTTTTGTTTTCTTTCTGAGTCTTATGATTCTAGTATATGAATATATGCAGATCTGTTTCTACACTCTGGATTCTTGCATATACATTTTTTTTTTCCGATTTTGAGCTGTCCACTCTCTTGGGCAATTATTTTAGTGAATCTTTCAGTTATAGTTTTAAGGTGATTTTCATCATAGATTATCCTAGCTATGCCAGGTACCAGGGAGCAATACCTGTTTGGTATTTTGTACTTAATTCAAAATTTGTATTACTTTTTTTACTCTTAGATTACATAAGTTTGATCTGTGAATGGAGGTAAAGATGAACTTCTTGTTATACCTTCTCTGATAATATCTGATAAAATAATCTATTTTGGGCTTAAAACAAGAGACTTGTTATGGGTTGAATTGTGTCCTGTAAAAACAGGGTATGTTGAAGTTCTAAATGCCATGCCTCAGAATGGGGCTGTATTTGAAAATAGCCATTGCAGACATTAAGATGAGGTCCTACTGGAATTTGATGAACCCCTAATCCCATGACTGATCTTATAAGACAGCTGTCTTCTTACAAGAAGACAGCTCCAAGAAGACAGACATAAATGCAAAAATTGTAATTGTACTATTGTGAGCTAAAAAATGCCAAATACTGGGGACAGCAAGTAGCATGGTGGTTGTGGACTCCCACATGGCCAAATGTGGTTTGAGTCCTGAATCTTATGGCTTGTTTTCTTTCTTTCTTTCTCTCTCTGTGTGTCTATTGGGTCAAATTAAAAAAATAACAGAGAGACAGAGACAGAATGTAAGAAATCACCCCCCAGGAGGATGGCCAAGCTACAATCCCTTCTCCATTCTCCTATTGGGATTTTTGCACTCACACATGCACATGCACCCAGTGTGAGTTTTAAGCTGCAGAGTCCAGGACTTGAACAGTGGTTGGCCACGTGAGAGTCTAGTGCCTTAACCACTATACGCCTGATGGCCGCAAATAAATAATTCCTAAAAATAAAATAAAATAATGCCAAATACTGCCACCAAACTATCAGAATCTGATAAACAGCAATGAAGAATTTCTCTACAGATTTCAGAATAGCATGTTCTCACCTACACCTTGATTTTAGACTTAAAAAAAAAAAATTATTACTTTTAGGTTTTTCCCTTAGGGAGTATGTGCTTACCAGAGAAAAGAGACAGGAAACATGAGAAATCTTCCCCCAGCTCCCACCAGCCATATGGCCATGCCACAAGCCCTTCTCGTCTATTCTCCTCTTGGAATTCTGGACGTGTATGCACACAAATGTGCCCAGTGTGAGTTTCAGGCCACTAGGTCTGGGACTCCAACTGTGGTTGGTCATTCAGGAGTCCAGCACCTCACCTGCCGTGCCACCTTCCACCCCAATTTTGGACGTTTAGTACAGGGAAATGTGAAGCAGTAAATTTATGTTTTTAGAAGCTATCAGGTTATATACTTTGTTAGGGCAGCACTAGAAAACTAATATATTATTAATGGATATATTAAATCTTACCACGAGGAATATGAACTGAACATCTACAGCTACTGTTTTAGATCTACCATATCATGGTTCATTCTGACATTCAGAATAAATGTTCTAAACTTTAAGCAAGAAGTTTACTGAAAGGAAGTTTTTCAGAAGAACACTAAGAAAACCGAAGCATCTGATAAAATTCTAAACCTTTTTATGAGGGAAAAAAATGGAAACAAAAAAACCTACTTAAATTAAGGACAATTTATTTATAATTATTGAATATTGAATAAAATAAAGAATATTATAGCTTAAATTCAAAATCTTTTTCTTATTTTTTAATTATTTTATATTGTTTATTTATTTATTTATTTATATTTTAGTTTTGACCAGAGAGGGGCAGAGAGAGAGAAAGTAAGAAAGCAAGCCGCCAGGTCTAGAACTTGAACCGCAGTTGGTCATGTGGTACTTCAGTGCTCTTACAAACCCTACCACTTGTCGGTCCCTCTTTCTTTGAATTTTAGGTTTTTGCCATAGGGTCACACTGTGATCACCTCTCCTCCATTAACTTCTAGGGTTTTGGGGTATACACACACACATGTGCCTAGTGTGATTTTTTTTTCAGGCCATTGGGTCTGGGGAATTGAACTATTGTAGACCATATGGGAATCAGTGCCTTAACCACCACTCCACCTGCTGGCCCACTGAATTATTTTTTAAAAGTAATTCTGGGGGCCAGCAGGTTGCATAATGGTTATAACGATAGACTCCCATATGACTGACTGTGGCTCAAGTCTTAGGCATGGTGGCTTAAAATTTCCACATGCTTACCCCAAATCCCCAGAGGAGAATGGAGGAGAAGAGATTGTGTTATGGTCACTCTTCCCCGGGGTGGAGGTGATTTCTCACTTTCTCTCTGTCTCTCTGTTTCTCTTCTGAGTGGACGTGCCCTATTGCAAAAATCTCTCAAAAGATTAAAAAATAAAGGAAAGTAATTCTGGAAATATATATTGGAAATAAAAATTCTAATTAACCTGTATATATGTTTAAACCATAACCACTACTCAGATGCCTCTATGTCAAAATACTAAATTTCAGGAATATAAATTTATGCATTTTTAAAATATATACACATAGAAACACGTAATATCTCTAGGGGAGAAATCCTCCAAATTTCTGCTTATAATAATACA